AGTGTCAATGGGCCATGAAGGTAGAAGGTCAGTGTCAATTGGCCATGAAAGTAGAAGGTTAGTGTCAATGGGCTGTGAAGGTAGAAGGTTAGTGTCAATGTCAGCTGGTACAGATGTAAGTGGTAGATATTTTAAAAGGATCATTTGCAGTTATATATTTTACCCAAAGTGTCTCATAATGTCATACAATATTTGTTGATGGCCTCTTTTCTTAGATACTGCAGAGATTCCAAGTAGCACATTCTTGAGCTGTTTGGGCACTTTTTTTCAGGTGTACACCTTTGAGATGCAGGTGATTGAAGCCAAGGCCAACTTTTCTGGAGCTCTCCGATGCGAGGTGTCCTCCAAGGACAAATTCGACAGCTGTAATTTCAACCTAATCGTACACGGTATGTTCATCCATCCTGATAACTGTCATGGGAAAGGGAACTACTGGATCGTTCATCTTATTTTGATGATTGATATATTAAATCGTCTCAACCCCTCTGAACCATATACTCTTAGTGAAATGGTCATGTGATGCACAATACTGAAATGTGATTGGCCAATACAATATACAATCATATCACAATAACAGGAGGACTTGAGGCTAAATCCAGTGGGCAGTGAGCCTTTACATGTTGTGTTCTTTTCATGCAAAACAGCTTGCAATCCCAAGTATTGCAGTGTTAAAAGTCTTAAAAGATTTTTTTAAATGAATAATTGTTTTGCCATTTTATTCACAGAGGCTCGTGTCGTAGAAGAGTTTGACATTCGTGCAGCTTTCAGACGCACGTAAGTCCCTTAAAGACCAGGAAAGAACTGCTCGGATTCTCTCATGACATCCAGTCAGTCCAAATCTTATTAACATGAAATGTGTGTTCTGACCCGAATATGTATTGCCTTTAGTATATTTTGGGAAAATGTGTATAGAACCAAACCTGAGATATGAACAAAATTATTAAATTGAATTTGCACAATGACACAACCCCCTAAATACCTCTTAGTATTATTTTAAATTTGATGTTATAATAGTCTAACCTTTCTGAAGGTCACAGTGTCAGGAATGTAAAAGCCAAGCCTTCCTTACAAGGCCGTGCTGTAGCTGCCCGAACAGAGAAAGCGATAAGGATGTCGGCGCTTGGCCCAGGCCTCTTGGAAGCCAGACGCTGGGGTTTTCAAAGCGGTGGAACTAGTGCTGCTTCGCCAGCTGTCAGCTCACAAATATTTCCAAACGTGGTTAAACGTGGTTAAACGTGGTTTCCCCTGACTGGATGTTAAACCCAAGACTGCCCAGCTGCCCAATGTGGTTACAGGCATCGTGTTTAATTTGGTAAGACTGGGTGCCTTAGATATTAGAAACGTGTAAATGACAGTAAGTAGGGTGTAACGCAAAAGCAACATGACAATGAAATATTTTCAAGTGGCCAGTTCTTCTGCCAAGCGGTATGGGGTATAAATGCCATTTGTTGTCTGATTGTCGCTTCCAGTGAGGATTATGGGTAATTTAAATGTCACACGACTCAAACGTTGGACTGGATTTCTGGGGTGTGGGATAGCTGAAGAGCTGCTGGTGTCACTTTCTTTCTGAAGGAGCGTGGATGCCGGTGAGACTGCAGGAGAGCTGGACTTCAGTGGTTTGCTGAAGAAGCGGTATGTATATGCTTGCATCTTCCTGTCATTTATGCTGTCGCTTATAGGTCGAGGTGTCTTTACTGTCATCTGAAGCTGTATGATACTTGGGGTCATACATTGAGATGAAATTCTGGTCTCATTGGTCATAGTGCATGAAACAGTAATAAATAAAATATAAATGTGTAAGATATTTAAAAATGATATATTGAGACATACAGTTAAATACGGAGTTTAGAAGCTACAGCTGCTTTAACTTTGTAAAATGTAGGGTAGATATTGATGCATAGATGGGGCTACATTTGAGCATATAACAATAGAAATAGAAAAGAATATAGAAAGAAAAGTCGAAAAGCAAAGGAGGGAAGATCAATGGATATCAATCACATCTGTGTAGTCTGAGTGAGTCTGAATAAAGTAATAAAATGTGCCCCAGTGATGCTGACTGTGCTTTTCTCTCTGAATTTTTGCCTCCCCCTGTGACTGCGGCCTCAACACACGTAGGGAGTAAGTTGGCTGAATTGAAGGACAGCATGAATCACCCTTAACTCACCACATTAATGCCCCCCCCCCCTCCCCCAGTACCCTGTGGACACACCTGCTTGTTGGGCGTCATTCATAAGCCGGTTGCACACATTGGCTGTGCATGTGGGGGGCGGCTGCGGACAGAATAACTGGAGGTGTCGATGGCCGTGCGTGTAAAGGCCACACTCATTATTCTCGAGTCGCCCCCCCACCTGCCGCCGCCGTTGGCAGCTAACAGACAGCGGCTCCAGTCATATATATTTTCAGCTGTACATCTCAGCCATATATCACTCTGTCATGGAACAAAAACAAGCAGTACATACAGGGACAGATGAACTTATCTCGGGGCCCGAGGCCAAGCAGGCCACTTCAGCGGTTTTTTTTTTAGCGGAAAGAAAAACGAGCTAGCATAAGAAGCTAGCTATGTAACGACGGTAATCCGCCGGCGGTGAAGCCAGGTGCCAGTGCGGGGGGGGCTTGGCGGGGGTGCCGGCGGATCGACATACAGGCCTAGTTTAAGCTGTCCCTTTTTCCCAAGGTGGGAGTCCAGGTGTCTGCCAGAGCCCTAGAGCGTAAGATAGCTTATGAATTATCCCGCGCCTGAATGCATACAGTAAAACACTCTCTCAATTCAAACAACAATTAACAATTATTCAAATTAATTATTTGTATAGCTTATAGTGAATATTCATTTGCCTTTAAATTTATGATGACTGATGTTGTTTAAACATCCATGCTAAGTTTAGACAGCTAGGCTTTGACAATCAGAGAATCCCACACCTGGCGTGGAAAGTACAGTAACAGCCACTGAGCATGATTGATGATGGGGGGGGGGTTTGGTCACCTCTAGCCCTTTACACTGATGCCCGCTATTAATTTAAAATTGATCTACAGGGTCAGGCAGCCCCTGCAGCATGTGCAGCATGTGAGGGTCATGGGCTATGCTCAGACTATTTGTGATCATAATAAAATCAGACGGAAAGTACAAAATAAAGTGGTGGCCATTGATTTTTTTTTTATATTGTGATATTATATAAATAACTGTGCATGCGATTTGGAGACAGAAGGTTGCATTCGTGGGATGTTCAGCGCTTGCGCTAATGCATTTTGATTTGTCTTGCCATGCCTGCCACCTTGGTACTGCGTTGAATGAGTGCAGCAGTTTTTTAAAAGCGCCCAGCCGGTAAGAAATGGGATTCTCTGTATCCCACAGTGCTAATTCTTGTTGTCTTTTATTCCAGCTGTTTACTTTTGTTTGCCTAAGCTATGTGCTATAGGTTTATTGTAGCATGGGTGTGTATTCTTTGATTGTGTTGATTGCCTTGACTGATTTATTTGTTATGATTAACCAGCCCAGATGTGCGCTCATTGGATAGTGGCTGACTGGATAGTTAGTGAGAACATTAGTAACCTTTTAGATGTCTGAATTAACGTATCCTTTGAAAATATGGGAGAAAGTGCTTGATCAGTGGTTGAGCACTAGAGTAATCACATTGGTAAATCCTGTATAAAAATGGCTTAGTGCTGACTCCTAACTTACTGAGTTGGTTCTCCAGTGCAGTCCAAGCAAGCAGTGAACCTGACGTAGACGTGTGGGATATACTTCAGAAAGCACCACCCACAGAATATGAGAAGATTGCCTTCCAGTATGGCATAACTGACCTGCGTGGGATGCTAAAAAGACTGAAGAAGATGCGGAAGGAGGAGAAGAGAAGTGAGGGTGGGTATACTGACAGCTTTGGGATGCTGTGATCAGAAGGTCCTTGGTTCAAATCCCAATGTCAGCCAAGTGGTTTTGCTGTTGGGCCATTGAGCATGGCCCTTAACCCCAATTTTTTCCTCAATCGTACATCGCTTTGGAGTAAAGTGTCCATTCGATGTACTCGGTTAGTTAGGTGATCTTCTGTCTATTCTGTATACCCAGGACGTTTCTCTTATGAGTTAAAAACAGCAATATAGAAGACTTTGTTCAGCATGTAGTGTTGTTAATCTGTTATCAAGATATTCTGTTGTGTTAAAATTGCAGCTTTTCTCAGGAAGCTGGACCCCGCCTACCAGGTAGAGAAAGGTCATAAGATCAAGCTTGTGGTGGAAGTGGCCAACCCAGATGCGGAGGTGAAATGGCTGAAGAATGGACAGGAAATACATCCAACCGGGAGGTGCTGTCCATCTGCTTTTACCCCAGGCTGCTGCATTTTTTACACCATTATCAAAACCACAGTATGTCCGGTGGAAACAAAATAAATAGTTCAGGTTCAAATCATCTGTATCAAAAGTGAGCAGCAGTAAACTGGCTTGCACCACAAACTTTATGCATCCTGGATCTCTTATTCTGCTTTAACAGCGGCTATAACATTATACATTGCAATCATCAGCACCATCTAGCATGTAAACCACTCAGGATACTAGACAAATATTGTGTAGCTCATTTCACAGTGTAGCTCAACTGCAATTTTTTTAACACATATGAAAACAGCGTCTGTGTACAATAAAAAAAACCAATGTATAGATCTGATAACCATATTATGGATAGTATGCAGGTTTATCTTTTGTGTTTTAATAGATAGAAAAGTAAGAATATGCTATCTTCTATTATATGTCTATCGCATTTTCCTTCTTTACATTTGGCTTATCATTTTTCTTTTTTTCATCCCCTAACAAACCGATTTCTCTGGATTCGCCATATCTCAACTCCAGCAAGTAAGTTACATGTTTAAAAACAGACATTTTCTTCCTCTACATACAAAATTTTGCCAGGGACCTCTATCTGAACAGAGCTGGTAGTTCAGCCTTGCTCTAAAATAATCCAATGAATCTTTTTAACTCAACTTTAATTGTCGATACTGTACATACAGTAGCACCTCATTAAAGCACAGAATGTTGCTTTTCGGCTGGTTCTCATTCACAGTAGGGTCTTAGATGAAATTACGCAGAGATACAGATGCGTTTCTCTTTGACTGTTTTTGACCAGGTACATTTTTGAGAACATTGGGAACAAGCGGTTCCTCACCATTAATCACTGTTCACTGGCCGATGATGCCGCTTACACCTGCATGATCGGACCCGAAAAGTGCGTGACGGAACTGTTTGTCAAAGGTAAACCAAACCTAAAACAGATTCTTCATAACTGGAAAAAAATATTTACACATCACAGAAGTGTTCACTGTCAATTCCATAGAAGAAGCTCCTGTTGTGGTACTAGAATTGTGTTTGCTTACCCCCTGAGTATGGTACATGCTAGGGTATTGTAAATGCTTGCTGTGGTAGCCCATATACTAAAATAAGAATATTAGCATTACCCCTGTGCAAGGATGATGTGCAGATTTCTCAAGCATGCCATGGTTTTTGGGGCCCGTGTGTGGCTTAGTGGGTTAGGACGTTGTACTTGTTGGAAGGCCACAGGTCCAAATCTCTGGGCTCACAGAGTAGTTTCGTAGTTGGCCCTGCTTTCTCAAAACACAAACAGTGTCACTTTGGATGAAAGCATCTACTCAATAAATTACATATAAATGGAGTCACATGTAAGACAGCAGACATTCTATGTCTTATCAAAAGCCGTTTGGTCACATGTGTGCAGAGCCCCCGGTTTACATTGTGCGTAACCTGGAGGATCAGATGGCGATGAAGGGCGAGCGAGTGGAGTTTGAGTGCGAGGTGTCCGAAGAGGGAGCCCATGTCAAATGGTAAGACGTCTCTCCCCCTGGACTAGAACCTGAAAAGACTAGCAGGCTATGGATTTCAAACACAGGTATAAATTCCATATGTAACAAGCAATGCTGATTCTCAAGCCACTCCTTGTGACCCTCAGTCAGTCCACATTTCTGCTCCCTCCCAGCACTGATCTGTAATAATGTACAATTAAAAATGTTATTTTATTTTTATTTCAAGTACAGTATATGCACTGCATATAAAAATCCTCCAAACATTTAATAGAATGTTCTCTTTCCATTTACATTATATGGTGGTTCTTTGTAAATTTGATCCACACATACAGAAAGAAGAGAGTCTGTTTTTTTATAATTAAGTTCTGGCAAAAGTCTTAATACATCTGTCTACGCTTTATATAGTTGTCATTGAGCTAGATTATTGTAATTTAACAATAAATACATTTACCTGAAAAGTTTTGTTTTTGAAGTACAAGTTATGTTATTTAGACAACATTGTTATAATCCCCTCAGGTAAAGGGTAAGTCATGTGATGGTGTAGTTTCTTAATCTTGGTGGTAATATGGGAGCATTCAGCATTTTTCTAAACATAGAACGGACATTCATTCCAATACACATTGATTAAGTATAGTTACTTCTACCATTGTGCCCCTATGTAACTTGCGAACCACACACATTCCTGACCTGTAGAGGGCATCTGTGCTTCCTATCACAGTACTTCATCTGAAGACAATGCCTGGCTTGATATCCTTCATCTGGGAGATGAATGGTCACACTGGGTTTTCAACACTGCAGGCTTTCCCTTGTTCTTCGTCTGGATAGGCATATAACACCCCAAATTATAACACCCCAAAAATGATGAGCATGAGGAAATGAGCTTTAAAATGAAACCTGCCAATCAACACTGCAAAGGTGAACAGATACTATAGTATGTTTATGTGTGTCTATGCATCTATACTGACACACACACATATAGTCAAGCTTATTACTTTTAGAAGATTCTGCAAATGGAGACATGCAAAGATTATATCCATCCATCCATTATCTATACTGCTTTATCCATCAGGGTAGCGGGGAAGCTGGAGCCAATCCCAGCATCATCGGGCGAGAGGCAGGGCAGACCGCCAGTCGCAAAGATTATATGTTAATTTTAAAAGTCCATGGAATCTTGGAAGAAACTGGAAGGATATCAGTTACGACACAAGCTGTACTGCAATTCAGGTCCATCACATACTCATAGAGCATCCTGTTTATGCAGGGAAAAAGACGATGTGGAGCTGACAAGGGATGAATCGTTCAAGTACCGCTTCAAGAAGGACGGGAAGAAGCACGTGCTGATAATTAATGACGTCTCTAAAGAGGATGCCGGACACTACAGGGTGAAGACAAACGGAGGACAGTCTGTTGCAGAACTCATGGTTCAAGGTAGCCTACTGATACTCAATGCTAAATGCTATGCTGGTTTAGGAGATGTTTTCACATTTATAAATAAACAGTCTGAAATAACTTCCCTTCCTTAAACCTCTGAAAACCTCTTCAATAGATAATCACCCTCATTCAACTTTTACCCAATAATAACCACACTCTAAAAATGATTCATACCTTCAACTATTTCCACAAAATGTACACCTCTCACCCTATTGCTGTGACCTCTGACAAGCAGATTTAAAAGGATGCTGACCATCCAGTAAGTTCTTCAGCCCAGCTGCATCGCTGCACGCATCATTCATTTTCTGTTCCTCGGAAACACATCACTGCACTGACATATCCTAGCGCTGTCTATAGTTAGTAGTCATGTCTGAAATATTTATTTTGACAGACATTGCTTAGAAAATTCATGAATTTTGCTACATAAGTGTCTTAACTGTACTGAAAGAATGCATTTGTGACCAGGACTTTTAACTAATAGTGAAACTTTATTTCTGCCCACTATTGATTATTGATTGCTTCAGTTTTACCTCAGAATTTTTGTTACAGTAAAAATCATACAGTAAAAATCAAATCAAATACAGAAAAAATTGTAAAACCAAATAGAAAAACATCAGAAAATACCTGCCAGGGATTCAGTGATCAGTTATGAATCACACACTTAAACACTTTGAGTTACATGTTATCAGTCATTAGATGTGGAGCCGCCACTGGAGATTTTGGGCCTCATGAAAGCTTGTCCCATTGTGGCCCCAACCTGGACCAATCCAATTATGTTTCATTTTTTTAGGGCTGCATGCACCTTTAATAATCCATGTCAGGGAGGACACTTTGAGCTACTTCGGGTTTTACAAGATACTTTCAAACCGAAAGGCTCCTGTGCTCAGCTAAATAGTTCAGCTCTTCTTGTGCTCTGACTGGTTTGTTTCCTTGACTGAAAGACTCATCCAGCTAGTTCACATTACCATTAGTGACACATACAATACATGATTATAGGACACTGGCCAATCAGCACACAGCAGGAGCTAAAGTGAAATCCAGGTCTTTTTCACTGAAATGGTGGTTCACAAACCCTGTCCTAGCTCATCGCGTCCTCCCTGACATGGATTATCTGACCACGCTACCTTTACCGCGTCCCTGATTAGATGGCTGATAATGGCTACCTTGTCCTCCATCTTATAGAGAAGGAGCTGGAGGTGTATCAGAGCATTGCCGACCTGACAGTGAAGGCCAAAGAGGAAGCCGTGTTCAAGTGTGAGGTCTCTGACGAAAATGTGAAGGGCACCTGGTACAAAAACGGCATGGAGGTGAAGCCTAATGCTCGGACTCACATCACGCACATTGGCAGGTGAGTGATAACAGTGTCCAGGTGTAAAAATATTTCAGCATTTCCCAGAAGGAAATCTTTTAGAGTGACATGACAACATGACTCCTGGGTAAGGGCTGTAGTCTCAGAATGCCATGGGTTGCAATTTTAGAATGTTGCATCTGCGTTTTTCTCATAACCATCACACATAAATTTCTCTGCAGGATTCACAAGTTGACGATTGATGACGTGACAGCCGAGGATGAGGGCGACTACACGTTTGTTCCGGAGGGATATGCCTTCAACCTGTCTGCCAAGCTCAACTTCCTGGGTACATTTGCATTCATTTCAGTATTTCAAGACCTTGTGGATCTGATCTGAGATGTGAAACATTCATTGCATTATTTATTCATTCATGCATTCATCCATTCCATCCTGCAGAGGTCAAGATTGACTACGTACCTCGACAAGGTGAGCTGCATTGACATGTTCTGCATATATCATGAGCCACTGTTGATATCCCTGTGCTATAATTTTGCAGCTACCTATAAATCAAATAAAATGAACTTTATAATGCCAAGCAGGTAGTTCGAGTTACTCTTCTACTCCGAAGATGATGTTGACTGTCTTTCTTCTTTGCTTCGAAAGACCCACCAAAAATCCACCTGGACTATACAGGCAGCACAAGTGAATCGACCATCGTGGTAGTGGCAGGAAACAAGCTGCGATTGGATGTTCCCATAACGGGTGACCCCGCCCCCACCGTGGTGTGGACCAAGTCTGAGAAGGTAAAAAGCCTTCATGAAATGCAGATTCTAATGAGAACAATAACTTCCAAACACACTGCAGACAGGAGGGTATATGAGCTCTGATGCTCCCGACCCAGGGTCTGCCGCGTATTCATGGCGGGAAAATAAATCATAAGATAAAGGAATTCAAACTGGAAATGAAAAAATTTGATCAAACCTTCCAAAACATTATTCATTCATTAAACCAATAAAATGAAATTTAAAAAATAAATTGATAAAATTCCAACTAGCAGTCATCTGGAATCGTGCATTCCGGTTTATTTACATAAAACAATAAAGCAGTTATTGCTCAAAGTTTCCTGACATCGGTGTTCCTCCTAAGAGTCCAATAATCAATATCAGTCATAGTTCACTACACGCACTGCGTACAACAGAGTCTTCCTGACAGTCAAAAGTCAAAGCCCCCCCTCAGTCCAGCCTGTTCAGCCTCAGCTGATAAGCAGCCTTTCCAGGCAGTAATGAGGAAGCGGAAGTGACGGTCATGTGACCACGCATGGCCCTTTCTTGGTGGATCTTTCACCCACCCGATACCCTGTAGCTTCCAGATAATGGAAGGAACGAAAATATGCATCCAGCAGTATATTATATGCCCTGCATCACATGTACTCTCTATGAAGGGAAGCAGTGCGGGGGTGTGGGAGGGGGGGGGGGGTCTGGAAAAATGTAAAACTTCGTAAAACTTGGATATAAAGGCAGAAATGGAATCCATATGAAAACCTGCATTTAAACACAGGTAAGGTGTTTGTTTATACTTGATCTGTCTTGCATACTGGTTAGCTTGCTATGGGTGCAACTGAATGCCATGACCAAACTTGCATTGAGGCTTCTTTAGACCCTTGTCGATAGCAGTTTTATCTCAGAAATTTTCCATCTATAAGCAGATTGGAGTTACTGATATGGAAAATACAAAAATAATTTTTCACAGAACAGGAACTGTCCAGTTCAAAGGTTGTTTGATGGCATATACAACACTTTTAGCCACTGGTTTGTGTTAACATCACGTGACTGTCCTGATTAAATTAAGCCCTAGTATGTGATTGCAGGACAAGTGTTTCCAGAGTTAGAAGCATTTTAAACAAAGAGCGACCTGTCTGTCGTCCACCACTAGGGGGCTTCATTGATGACTGGTTAAAATTGTTTATGTTCAATCAGGTCTCCAGCGCTCGCTAAGCTGGTGCCCTTGCAGATGATGCTGCCCAAGGCTATGTGTTGTCAGCCTTCTGTTTGCATAGTTTTATGAATCATGGTGTCATGGTGAATTATGGTGCGTGTTGGTTCTGTAATATATGGGATTGGTGGCAGTCCTAGCCTCAGCTTTCTGCCCGTGGACCGGTACCAGGTGTTGGGAACCCCGACCCTAGACGGCTGCCTATGTCACCTAATGGGTTGACCAGATCTGGTACCATTCTGGCCTCACAACTCCAGGGTTAAATGTTTGTACTCCACTCCAGTTATCTGTGATAGGATTTAGATGCTCTCCCCATGTTTGCTCAAGCTTCCTCTGGTTTCCTCTTACAATCGAAATCATGTGGCTTAGTGAATCACCAAAGCTAAATTTGCCATAGTATCCTGTGTTGGGCTGACACCCCGTCGTGTATTTCTGCCTTTTGGCCGGTGCATAGTTACTGAAATGTTTAAAACTTCCATAAATTTTCCTGAAAAAATGAATGAAGAAGGTTGTGTGTCAAGAGTGCTGCTTTAGACCTTTAATGACCTTTGCTGTTTTATGCATTTTATGGTTTAACCCATTGATCGATTGCTGGTACTGAAACAGAACAAGCAGCAAGGTACTGCTCACATATCAGAGAGGCTCTGGGATCATTCCTGTCTAAATCTGAAAACTAAAAAAAATCTCCTTAATGATCAACCCTTTCAGAGTAAAAACAATGCCTAGTACATCAAAAGTCTTTGGTAAGAGAGTCATGTCTCTTCGCAGTCGCTGCAGATGAGGGCCTCTCCTGCTATCTGCTGTAGGTTCCTCAGTCAGTTCCTGATGTTGTTTGCAGATACTGGGCATCACAGGTGTGCTTTGCTCATGTAGGGTGACTCTAAAAAGCTGAAGAACAGTGAGTCGACCGTGGAGTTCTGTGCCACTTTGAAGGACGGGGAAGTAAGTGCAGCTGAAGTCGCAGCAGCCTCTGCATGCTTCATTATCTCTATTTCTGCATGCTGTAGAGCAACTAGACCTCAGAGCCAGTGGTGCAGTGCTCCAAAAAGGTAACTACAGTGGACATGTTGTCTCTATTGACCTAAGCATGTATGTAATGGATCTTCCAGCAAATTAACCCCCCATCAAATGAGTTGGAGAGTTTTATGTCCATGGACTGCCAGGTGCTGTAAGTTCCATACAACATCTTAACTCCATAGGAAATACATTAACTTCTACAAAGTCAGTGATAACTTGGGTATATTACTTTTTATGTCTTTATAATGCTTGGATTTAATTGTTTGTTTGGTTTGTTTTGTCAAGGACGTTCCTTGTTGGATTAAGGGTATTGCTCATGCGTTGTTTGTTCATCTTGAATATACTGTTACCCAGATTCAAAGGGTTAATGCACTCCAAGCCGTACATTATACGTTTTAAAATGCATGGCTTTATAGGTGCAGAACCATCCAATGCAAAGTGGAATGGATTTAAAAACAGATAATGCCAATTCAAAGTTCATTAACCCACTTATACCACGGTTTTTTACATATTTCTACCTAAAGACATTATTTTCATGTTTACATGTTTACAAAATGCAATTATTAATAAAACTTTTTTGCTGGCAATGATTAAACATTTTGGTTTGCTTCTGTTAATTTTAAATTGTGTTCTACATCGAGAATTTTAAGTAACATTAGTTAGAATTGAAGAATTTTAATCTTGAAATACTACTGTGATTCACCTGGCTGGCACTATATGTGCGATTATAGAAAACTAATCAATACAATTCTGACCAATCAAATGTGAGAATTCAGCAGCACTTGCATTGTAACTATGTGTAGCAAGAAGGTTAGGGCTGTTTAGTGCTTAGATGATCAAATGAAGATCTGACATGGCCTGGGGCAGAAGACAGACTGTGACACGGTGGGTCTCCTTGGCAGGTGATCTCAACAGCAGACGGCCGGGTCCATGTGGAGAGCGCGAGGGGTCATTGTATCTTCACCATTGAAGGGGCGGAGCGGCAGGATGAGGGCGTGTACTCAGTGATTGTCCGCAACCCAGCAGGGGAGGACACTGCCGACATTACTGTCAAAGTCGTTGGTACGTTCCGAGAGATCTCGCACACCCATGATTAATTATACACAGAACAATGGAAGTGGATTGCTTGTAGGTAAAATTCAGGTCAGAAAAATGATATACCTTTCTTCTACAGGTGTACGACCTGTATTTCCAACTGACGCCTGACTCAAAGAGTGTCTGATAATGTCTCTTGGTGACATTTTATTGTCTCGTCCTGTTTTAGATGTTCCAGACCCTCCTGAAGCACCCAGAATCCTCAGTGTTGGGGAAGACTCCTGTATAGTGCAGTGGGATCCCCCCCTGTTTCATGGAGGCATGCCTGTTTTAGGTTAGTACTTGACTCTGGTATCACTTCTGACCAGGGTTGGGGAACCTGCTCCACGGAGAGCCAGTGTGGGTGTGGGTGTTTGGGATGACCTCTCAATCTGCCAGTAATGACGCAGTGGTTCTCAACTCCAGTCCTGGGGACCCACTGTTACTGGCTTTAGACAGATATCGCATATTGTTAATTAATTTTTCTACAGTATGAGTACTTCAGTTTATCAGTAAGAAACCAATTTAGAACAAGTAAGAATGCAAAATAAATTAGATTTTGGGATATATTCACACTGTCAGATTTGTTAGGATGTGGCTGTTTCTTTGCCATGTTAGTATCTGTCAGTCAGTACATGTTGTCTCAAACAGGTTATGTCCTCGAGAGGAAGAAGACTAAGAGCTACAGGTGGATGCGGCTGAATTTCGATCCCTACACCGAGCTGACCTATGAGGCCAAGAGAATGATTGAGGGCGTGGCCTATGAAATGAGAGTCTATGCAGTCAATGCTATTGGCATGTCCCGCCACAGCCCCGCCTCCCAGCCCTTCGTGCCAATTGGTGGGTTCCTGTTCCTCTCCGCTTGTCACCCTCCAATAATGTGTCTGGTTTATGGGATGTCCTTTTCTGACCTATCCCCATTCACGCATCATTTTCAGCCGGGGGCACATAAACGTACAATTAGTCAAACACAACAGGCAACAAGAGATGCCGATTATCTTTATTAGTCTTACTAAAGGAAATCTGCATGACACAGAGAACACATGCAACCTCCACACACACACAGAGTCTGGGATTTGAAACATCACACTTCAAGGTGTGAGGCAACAGCCATTCAATTGATGAGTATGAATTATTTTGATTATGGCACAAAACATAAATTACATGCATGGTTTCAGGCAAGGATTATTATTGCAGGTCAGTTACAGCTTTACCCTGATTCCAACTGTGACTACTGGACATTGTCCAGCATGGTTCTTATTCCACCTTGCTTGCCTGTTTGGCTGTGCTTAGCCTGTATTACACTAAGTGTCTTTGCAATGGAAATCTGAGCCTTCAAAAGACCATGGAAGAACGTAGAAGCCCCTCCCCATTTCCTTTTATGGCTGATTCCTTGTCTGGGGTGATATGAATACAAAGGACTGTTCTCCAAGCTGGGCAACACAAAGACCCACAAAGACTTGATTAGGAAAGTATCCCCAGCATCTCCATCTATAAATAATTTTGTGTTACTGCCAAGTGAGGCTTGGACTGGCTGAACCACAATAGGAAATTTGTAGCTACTGTACAAGCAGCAGGGGAACACTTACTGTGTTGGAGCCGCTGACAGATCCTGCTGGAACTACAAGCACAGGAAGGGCAAAGAAGGCAAGCCAAAAAACCATTTGGGAGCCTAAATCAACTGAAGGACGATGAGGCCCAAACTTCCGAAAACAGCAGAGAAGCCCGTAGAGGGGGTGACCTTGGCGGACTCGCTCGAGGAGCCAAGCTTGGAATCTGCTGTGCAGGATGGTCCCAAGGAGCCTGGGGCGAGTCCTCAACCAATCCCACCCCCAGGAGAAGAGTTTACATCAGGGAGCCCCACATCCACAGAGAAGGCTCTGTCCTCCCAGGATGGGGGAGCCCCATCTGAAGAGTCCGCCAGCCTCCTGCCCACAGAGGAGCAGCCTATATCTGCTGGTGAAGAGGTCCCAGAACCAGAACCAGAACCAGAACCCAAAGGCAGTAGGCTTCCAATTTGCAAACTTGTTTATCCACGGGTGACTTACTATGTTCTTATAAGAAAAGATGAATTCATATTATTCTCTCAAACAGCATGTTGTTATTGTAATGAACTATGGCACAAACAAGAAAAACAAACCAAAAATTGAGGAAGGTTTTCAGCCTTTGTCAGACAAGCAGATGATAATGCCTGGCTTTTATTATTGTCTCTCTCTCTTACTGCCCTATTGCGAAAGGAAAATGCACATTTATGTTTATTTGCAGTTTTCCTTGCTCCTGAATAATAAGTTAAATTTTTCAGTCTGAGTTTGGCCTCCTCTGCTATGCAAACCCTGTAGATCAATGCAGTTCAGGATATGTGTGTTTAGCTGCTTGGACAAAAAAATATCTGGATATCCCAATAATAATGATTTTATTATTTTAAGTAGAATGATTCATAAAACCAATGTGGTGAATTTAGGTGCAGTGAAAAATTAAATATTAGCAACGGATATTTTTATGGGGTGTTTTTAGTAAGCGCTGGACATTCCAGACTTATCTGAGGCAGCAAATCCACAAAGGGTTTTTTTTTGGCCTCCTGGTCAGGGAATTCCCACCCTGGACTCCCTAATCAGCAAAGGGATCATGTTTATACTCTGTGTCCTTTGACATAGCCATACCTAGCCTCCCTGGGTCCAGTGTAACTTCTTTCTTTGCAAATCACAGTGTTATACTGAAGGTTCTCTCAAATCTCTACTAGATTTATAAAAAACATTATAAAAGATTAAGTGCTAGTCCAAACATAGAAATTGATTAGGAATTATGGTGCAAATGTCATATTCATTTGTTTGTTCAATACAGAAAGTGTTTTTGTCTTTGAACGCTTACACTTTGAAGTGATACATGAGAGCTAAATTGTATTTAGTTCCTTTCAATATAGACACACAAATAATCAGCAAATTTACATTAGCAGACGATGGATGGATGGTTGGATGGATGGATGGATGGTTGGATGGATGTTTGGATGGATGGATGGATGGTTGGATGGATGGATGGATGGTTGGATGATTGATGATCTGTGCCATGTCATTAAGCTCCAACCAGTGAGCCGGTTGGCCTGTGCATAGAAGACATCAGTGACACCACCATCACCCTGAAGTGGAGATCTCCTGAGCGTCTGGGGTCAGCCAGGCTTGAAGGCTATGGAGTTGAGTACTGCAAAGAAGGATGTAAGAACCAAGTTTAACTTCCTCCGGGATCTTCAGGATAAATGATCGAATGTGAAGTTCTCGTGACTGCCTCTGATCTCTTTGCTCTAAACCTGTGGTCCAGCCGAGGAGTGGGTCCCGGCCTTCCAGGGGCTGACAGAGCGCACCTCTGTGGTCATCCGCGACCTGCCCACAGGCGAGAAGATGCAGTTCCGTGTGCGTGCCTACAACCCAGCAGGCCCCAGCGCCCCCGCCACGCTGGCGCAGCCTGTCACCATCCGGGAGATCATGCGTGAGTATGCTGCGGCAGGCAGGGGCACTGGCCCCAGCTGAAAGCTGATTGGCCCCTGGAGTCCCCCTTCTCCTGTCACTCACCAATTCAAAACATATTATTGGCTAAAAGTTGGCCCCTTGGTTTAAATATGGCCCCTCTTAGGTCCTCACCTTAAAAAGACCTAAAATCTCTCCTGCAATGTTGTCTTTTATACATTATTACATTCAGACATTTATTTTGTGTCGTGTGTAACTCCTTTATGTTCAAATGTAAGCAACCAGCAGAAGCAGATCTTTAGTTTGTCTACACATAGAAGGTCCTCTCAAACCATCCAGTAATTCTTTTTCTGTGTACATACATACATAATGTAATCAGTTTTTTTGAATAGGTGACGGTAGCAATCTTGTTTGCAGAACGGCCCAAAATCTGGATTCCTCGCAACCTTCGTCAGACTCTGATGAAACACGTTGGGGAGTCAGTGAACATGGTGATTCCATTCCAGGTACGTGAAAATACAACGTGTACTTCCAAAAAACCAAGAATGCCATTAAGTCATAGCTTAGCTTATGACATCACTTAGGCATTTCTTCTTCTGACAAAGTTTTTGTTGAGTGTTGCCAATTTAGCATTTCTAAGAGTAAGTCTCTGCAAACTTTGTCGACAATGGCAATTTCAGTTTCTTCAGTTTACCATGAAAGCACACCAATATCCCTTATCCAGACAAGGCTGTGCTGTTATGTGTTATACTGTATTTAATTACATACACAGCATTGTTACTCACCTCTGAATTTCAAATGGTCCATGAAGGCAACCTAGACTGAACGATCTACTGATGTTCATGTCTCACAGGGAAAACCTCGACCAAAAGTTACCTGGACAAAAGGGGGAGAGCCTCTCGATACGAAGCAAGTCAACATCCGAAACAGTGACACCGACACCATCCTGTTCATCCGCAAGTCAGACCGCGGAGACTCGGGGAAGTACGAGCTCAAGGTGCAGATTGAGAATGTCGAGGACACTGCCACCATCAACATCCAGATTGTCGGTAAGTTTCACTCATCTCAATGGTGAATGTATATTTCAAGAAAAAACTATTTTATTCTACCCTACAATTACCCTAGCATGAAGGGCTGAGCGAAGGATTTTATATGGAAGGCGATACCATTTTCCTTAAAAAAAATCTTTTTGCAAGGCACATTAAAATACATAAACAGTTTTATATACGATATATGAAAAAATACTACTACAAATATTAACCATCAATATAATGACCCCAAAATGTTTTATCTTAACATGAAGTATTAAAAGCAGCATTTATTGGTATCCCTGTTGTATAATGAATGAAATGTACAGTCAATCCATACAGTGGATGGATGGATGGATGGATGGATGGATGGATGGATGGATGGATGGATAGATAGATAGATAGATGTGAGATCTACTTATGATGGAACCACAAACGGGAATGGCTTTGATGAGTTTGCAGATGACAAGGAACCATATATGAAAAATGTTTCAGAATGGAAAACACACTGATGTGCATCAAACAAGTGTTCCCAATCAAAATCAGTCCCCGATTATGATAAAGGAAAAACACAGTGAATTTTTCTCGATCTTTTAGACTTTCCTAGCCCACCTCAGAACTTAAAAATCACGGACATATGGGGCTTTAACGTAGCCCTGGAGTGGAAACCCCCAAAAGACGACGGCAACTGCGACATCACAGGTTATACAGTCCAGAAAGCAGAAAAGAAGACAAAGGTTAGTGTGAATGCTTGGAAGTAAAGGATTAAAAAGCACTATGCATTTATCCGGTTTTTTGGCTGCACGTCAAAATGAAAATATATATATGCGAATACATTAACTTGTGTTTGTATCCATTTCAGTGATTCAGTTATTTCAGCTGAATTGTCATCCTGAACTGCCAGTTTTTCTATGCAAACTCACAGGAATTCACATGCAAGTGCATCGAGGCATTTCCTTTTGTTATGGAATGCCTTCTCATCACCACAGTGTCCCCAGTCTGTCTGAACTGAGGCCAGTGAACCCCTGGCCTTTGCATGTCCGGAATGTCGGAAATGCTATACAGCAGTAAGGAGATATCAGGGCCTCTCCAGTGGCTGTGCTGGCCACACAACAGCATCTGTCATTTTCTAAATTTAGCCCTCTGGCCTTGGCATGGTGTGAGAGCTTTGTAAATATCACAAATTCCCACCATGTTTTTAACACACAAGGTTAGCACCTGTACAACTTGCATTAAGTCACGGCGGGCAAGGAGTTTTATTTCTGGCTTCTTCACGATTGGGTTCCAGGCGTAGCACCAATTTATGTTTTTCACCCCAATGGCCACGTCATGGGAGATTATCACATTTTGCATAATAACAGCTCATTTACAGCTCGCTAAATATAACACCGATTTGGATCCTGCCAAATGTCATCAGCTCTTGCATAAAAAAACTTGTTCCCTTTGCTATTTTGTGTATATATTTAATTTTATTTTCCCTCAAGTTGCTGGCTTGGCCATTCAGGACTGATGTGAATTTAGCTGATATTATCGCATTTAAGCTTGCCTTAAGAACACTTGGACTTGATTTGTTTATTGTGTTCATTTGTAAATTTGTTTACATTCACAGAGCAGAATGAATATCCCAATTAGCTAGAATAAATAATTGAAAATGTGTGATTAAAAAAATTCCCTGTGCATCATTGCATTTTATTTAATTTCATTTCATTTCAGATAATCTGGTTCAAATTCCCAATAAAATATATTTAGCATAGAACATTTTTCCAATTGCATTATTTACCGTAATTTACAGTCAGGTTCTGCCTTGCTTGTTAAAAGCCACTGTATGTGTTTTAGATGATATTTAAACATTCAACTGTACCTACAGGAGTGGTTCACTGTGTTCGAGCACTACCGACGCACCAACTGCGTGGTGTCTGACCTGGTCATGGGCAACGAATACATCTTCCGTGTCTACGCCATCAACATGGTGGGTCAGAGCCAGGAAGCTTGCAACTCCCAGGACAGTGCTTACATCCAGAAGACTGGTGCGTGCCATCACAAAAGACTTACCACATCACTGACAGTGAGGCCTCCTCCGACATTTAGGGTCAGGGTTAGTTTTAGGGTTGAAATAAGGGCAAGCAAATGACGGGACCATCCAAAAGCCCCACTGCTGTCTCCACAATCTCCTCACTGGCCATGAAGGCAACCGCGTATTTGGATTGTCCGCCTACGGGGTGTTAACATAGTATCTGGAACATTCCACCAACTTTGTTCAGTTTCAATAGTTCAGCTTTTTTGATGTGTCTGTAAACGTTTAACAGAATGTACTGTACATAGAATAGAGTATATACTGTAGACTAAAGACTATTCTGAACTTTTATAAAATCAGTTAAGGATTTTTCAATTTTTGAATTGGAATGCAAATGTTAATGTCCCACCAACAACAGGGGGGGGGGTATGTTTGATGCTTTTGCGGCCCCGCTCAAAAATTCACTTCAGGGCCCCAACCTCCCCACATATGTTTCAAAAAATAAATAAATAGCTTGCAAGCAGACTTAGAAAATCGCAGTTGGTTAACATAACAATCAGCTCAATGTTTCTCCGAAATAAGAAACATGTTTATTGAATGATTTGTGCTGTCACTGGTTTTGTCAAATGTGTGGATTGAGTGCTGGCAAATACCACCTGTGCCAGCAACACAGATTTCTACTCTTGAGTAGCTTAATTGGTGAAGGTCATGCCATCACTTTTCATTAATATGTTCGTGTTTCTCAGGGATGTTGTACAAGCCGCCTGTGTATAAGGACCCCAATTTTGCAGAGGCCCCCAAGTTCACACATCCGTTGGTGAACCGCTCGGTGATTGCAGGCTATAACGCCACCTTGACCTGTTCCGTGCGAGGAATCCCCAAGGTAATGGTGCCCATTCCCGAATCCATACCCTCTTATCTACCACATGTAGAATGGAATAGAACAGAATAGGAGAGTCAGGTATCAAAGATCTGATTTGAAACCCCTCAGCCCAAAGTGACCTGGTACAAGAACAGAATGGACATCTCCAATGAGGCCAAGTACAGGATGTTCAGCAAGCAAGGTGTCCTAACGCTGGAGATCCGAAAACCGTGCCCCTTCGACGGAGGTGTTTACACGTGCAAAGCGGTCAATGACAGCGGGGAAGACATGGTGGAGTGCAAGCTGGAGGTCCGCCGTAAGTAGACCTTCTCAGTTGGCCATCTGATGCTTTTCTTTCATCCTTATAGGTGAGAACTCTTTGCTTTTGTTAGGATGTACATTAAATGTTATACTGCCTTACAGAGTATATTTTAACGTGATTCTGAGCAGTAAACCTTTGGTTCCCAGTATCACCTGCTGGTCTTCCACAGCTGTCCTGCATGATTGTGCCAAATATGACATCATGTATGAACATACGATCTTATGTCATATTTGCATTGTTGAAGGCATTATTTATGCATGTGAGTGTTCTTTGGCATATACAGTATTTGTGTATATATACAAATGGACCAGACTTCATCGCTTGAGCACTGTGGTCTGTTTGCCTGCCAATAATGCCAGTGTTCCTTACCAGTCATGTCTTGTCCCATCTTCCTCTTTAGTTCCCCAGTAACCTTCCTTTGTTCTGAAATAAGCTGTACATACTACCTCATACCACCTTAAAAACAGCACGATAAAATGAAAAAAATCTGATAATCTTGTTTCCTCTGTGGTAACAGAATAAATATTGAATAATGTTTTCATTTTACAAACGTTTCAGGAATATCTGGTGCCAGGTCACACTACCATCACAGTACATTGATTAGTGTCACTATGATAGTAGCCTTAATTTTGCCAAGATAGCCCCAAAGGGAGCAGGGGGGGGGATTAGGGTTAGCAGGCACCCATGTGGTTTTTTCCTCCCATTCCGGTCGTTCCCAAATATGACAGCCGACTGCCCGCCACCGCACCTTATTTTGCTTCCTCACGTTTCCAATGTACGGATTGGCAGCAGAGGTCCGTGGTGCTGAAATCCCCGTGGGTCGACCTCCCGATCCATGACCTGTGATGGTGTGTATGTCCAGGGGCAGGTTTGCCATTTCTGTTAATGTTAACATTAGGTTAGTTTTAGGTTTGGGATTGAAATTAGGATGAGCATTCATGTTAGCAGTACTACTAGGGATAGCACTGAGATTCAGATTAGGTTTAGGATTAGCATTAGGGATAGAGCTAGGGTTATCACTGGGATTGGTATTAAGGATTAGAACTAGGGTTAGGGTTTCTGTTAGAGTTAGGGTTACTAGTAGGGTTGGAACAGGGCCAGGGTTGTTACTAGAGTTTGGTTTGGATTTAGGGTTGTTATTAGGCTTAATGGAAGATTTAGGGTTGCTTTTAGTGGTATGGTCGGGGTCTGGATTCCTATTAGGGTTACAGTTAGGCTTAGGGCTAACATCAATATTATGGATGTGGTTCAGTTAGGTTTAATCCTCACAATTCCCAAAAGACTCAATTGCATGACGGCACCAGGTATATAATAAAATTACGGGTTTGAAACCTATGCCAGACTGATTGCAATGACATGTTTCTTTTGCACAATGAAATATTGGAACAAAAAAAAAAAATCAATGGTTTTACTTACAGTATATACATGGGATTAACAGCTGTCAACAAGAACAGTATTTACAAATATTTTTTTTAACCGAACTCTTTACTCTTGTACTAACAGTAGGCCTCTATCAGTTATTAACAGTAGGCCTCTATCGATGCCTTGTCCACAAACTAACAAGAAATATTGGTGAACAAGAGAGTTTATCTTGCCCGATAATTGAACTCATGTTTAGGGTGTAAACGTGTGTCAATCATCTCTGGGTCAAGAACGTGCAAGAACGTACAAGAACGTACTGGAAAGTGAGGAATTGCTTCACTGGACTAAGTGAGGTAATGCTTCACTGGACTAAGTGAGGTATTGCTTCACTGGGTGGGTTTAAAAAATCCATCATATTCCATAACTATCCAGTCAAGTACAAAATGGAAGGCAATGAGAAATTCAGGGAAGTCTGTTTCCTTGGTGAGGCAGAAAATGTTTTGATTCACTGAAGTTCCTTTTATCCAGATAAGAGTACCTGCTGTTTTACATGGTACTTTGCTAGACACTTTTTGAACCACCGCACATTTTTGGTTTCACATGTTAGTAAGATATTTATCATATGAAGGTTACATTTTTCCCCTTTCCTTATCTTTTCTGATGATGCACTGCTTCACCTGTTGTCTTAAAGAAATGTCCACTGGGTTGTTGGTGGACATTATCGTTCTGGAACTTCCGAGAACAACAAGCATCCTGGGATTTACATGTGCTACAGTGTCTCGAGAGGGAAACCGGCGCGATTAAAAAATTAGCGGCAGTTCTCAGAGACTGTGTTAATGATCGGGGACAGAGGACAATGGGCGGACAGTTGTGTAAGCTAACAGGAAGGGCAGGAGTGCAAAAACGGCACAGCACAAGAAAGGTTTCCCTGAGGCGCAACCTTGGATTGGACTTTGGGGGGGTTGAGGTCTCTCAATATTTAGGGGGGTCCAGAGGGCTTATATTAGCCAGTTTTGGTTAGTAGGGGGGTGACTACCTACCCCCAACCCCCCCATAATTTATGCCAATGTCTGAAGCTATTGAAGTGATTCTAGGGACGACAGGAGACACAGACTGGTACTATGTAGGAATATCTAATAAAGTGGCCACTGAATTTAATGTAGAAATGCTAAAATGAGGTATTTTTACCAATTCTGATGTCAAATGAAAATTTGAATGGCATCTAACAGAAGTTGTAGCATTTGAGAAACAATAAAGGCACGTGACCTTTACCAGACTCATCACCTAAGTGATGTCTAACGACACACTATTTCAGCTCAAGTCACCAAAGTCGAAGCAAAGACCTGAAGAGACGCTCGAGGGCAGCGAGGTGCCCCCGGACCGCCGCCCTCAGCACAGAGGCGGAATCCCACTTGTTTTGCTTCTTTTCTTTTTCTGTACATTGTACGGATATTGATTTTGTGACTGAAATGTGCAAAATTAATTTGAAAAAATTAAAATTTATTAAACAGCTTTCTGTGTATTACTGTTAGAATCTTTAGTCACTTTGCATATTACTGAGTACGCTTTGTAACTAATGTATTTTAAAAATCTATAATACATTTGAGAATCAAAGACTGGATATGTAAATTGTTTTTGCTATAACTGACACTTTTTTTAGGATTTCAGCGCTAAATGTAATGTTAGGGTTGACACTAGGGTTTGGGTGACCATTAGGTTCAGGATTGGTTTTAAGTTTAGGCTTGAGATTTAGTTAGGTTAAAGGTTGGCATTGCACTCATTGTTGAGCTAAGGGTTAATGTTAGGTTTAGGGTTAAAATATGAGTAATCATTCATGTTAGCAATACCATTAGGGTTAGCATTAGAGCTAGGGTTAGCATTAAGGTTAGAGCTAGGTTTGGGGTTACGTTACCTTAAGGGTTAGAGCTAGGATTAGGGTTAGAGTTGCTATAACCTTTATGATAACCTAACTGTTGTTCTAGCTCTAATAGCAACCCTAACTCTAACCCTTATGGCAGGGCTCTTCAAATCTGGACCTTAATTCCAAATCCAGGCCTTGTTTTCAGTTCTCCCATGTACTTAGTTTAATAATTACTGATTCTGATTGGCCAGAAGCTTCACACCTCTAAAGGAAGGCTAGAAAATCAGCAGGGCTCAAACATTGAGGACCGTGATTTGAACAGTTGTGCCTTATGGCAACCCTAACCTTAAACCTAGCTGGAGCCCTAATTATACTTTAGTTCAATTTATTTGAGATGAAAAAACTCTTTGTTTGTGGCTAAAGATACTTTTTTGCATATGTTGCTGTATCTTTAAATATAAATAAAAATACTGCTGTTCAATTTTTTGTTTTTAAGGATTGATTTTGATCTTTGGCTGAACAGCCCCATTCTGGTTTAAACTCTATTTTCCTCTCTAGTAACCAAATAATAAAGGTGAAAATATTTGGCGGTTCTCTTCTAGGAGAATTACGCTGTTTAGGACTAAGACTGGAACATCACTTATCTAATGGAACATCCTTGAAATTAGAACTAATTTTATCTGTGGCAAGTCTGTGGATTTAGTAACATTAATCTCGAGTCACAGCAGATAACTTGGGAGACACTGACAAGGAGTCCGCAGTCCAAACGCTTCTGTTTCATGTAGCTGTAGAGGTTACAAGGACGCTGTTCTGCCATCACAGGAGCCAGAAGAAACCGCACCGATGTCGTAGTTTCAACTATGGCTTTACTTAATTATAGTTTAAGTGGAAAAAATCTTAATCAGTTCTGAAAAGAATTTTGAATTTGCTCCCCAAACAAAAGAAAGTGCCGTTATGTTAATCGTTAATTACCACAGGACTGGGAAAGCCAGCATGACAATACTGATTGTAATAACAACTACAATGCAAGTAAAAACAAATGAACCGATGGCATTTATTTCATTAAACAAGCGAAGTGAAACTGTAGTTCAGTAACGGCTGTTGAAAACTTGTCCAAGATTTGTCATTATCTTGCAGAAAATAGTTCTGCAATTTCTTCAAAAGATGGTGTTTAGTCTCACAATTTAAATTGACATCTATTCCCCTCCCGCTATGTTGTGCATCTTCTTGGATAGTTAAGTACATTTACTGTCCTTATACCCGGGCCAAGGATCTGATATTGCTGGCAGTCGTGTTACTTTCTTGTTGCCATGTAGAATCACTACAAACAGACAATCCCATAAACTTTTTATCATGTATCAAGGTCGTCCTTCAAGTTACTTACAATATGCAGACTATGAAAGGAATTTTCATACATGCAATCACACCTGTTCAGGGCCGCAGTGACAGCACTATATATACAAGCTGAGGTTTTAGCAGCTAGTCAGGTTTGAGGCTTCTCAAGTGGCTCAGCTGTAATAGACGTGAAACCTGATTCTGACAGTAAAACATTCTGGCAGTGACAGCCTGGGCAAACATTTATTCAACACATCACCTTGTGGTACTAGCTAGTGGTAGCACTTGCATGCCAATGTAAAGAGATGAGAAATTTCACCTACGAGAGAAGCAGCAGAAGAGCTGTTCCCTGGCCAGCCAAGCGGTATCTCTCCAGCGTGTCCTGGGTCTGCCCCTGGCGGAGCTGGAGGGGTTGGCTGGGGAGAGGGAGGTCTGAGCATCCCTGCTCAGACTGCTGCCCCCGTGATCGAGTCCCGGATAAGCGGCCGAGGATGGATAGAGGAGAAAACCTGTTTAAAAGGAATTGTGTAAAAAAAATTTAAAAAAATGTCTGCTTCTTATTAAAATGTCTTTAGGAAAATGTGGAAAAAGTACTGTACTGTATCTGTATATCACATACTTTGATGGCAATGTGGGTAAGCAGACCTCTAACAGAGGAACATCTTAAGCAAGGCTAATTCAACTTGTGACTTACAAATATGTTCCCTATAGTCCAATTTAAAATTGCTGGGAAACAAAAGACAAGTCATTGTTGGCTGCCATGTATAGGATGAGTATATGGGGAAGTATTTCATAATTCTGAAGGATGAAGGGGCCAGATATGTGGATTATGGAAGGCAATTGTAAACCACATACAGAACAGGATGCCTTTGTACACAAGAAGTACAACAAAATAAAAATGCCCAGAAAAATGTAAGCGATGTACATACAGACGTGGACAAATTTGTTGGTACCCTTTCACAAAAAACATCTCTGAAATAACTTGAAACTGACAAAAGTTTAATGGCATCCCTTATTACTTATTCAATATTTAACACAAATCAAACTTTGCTTTTGATTATTGATTCGGTTGAATATTTTGTATAATTCAACAAATGAAAATGGCACGCACAAAAAAGATGGTACCCTTAATATAATATGTTGTGACACCACATTTTCCAGCAATCACCAAACGATCTCTGTGCTTCACAATGAGACGTCTGCATTTGCCAGCAGGTAGTCTGGCCCACTCCTCCTGAGCAAACTGCTCAAGCTGTCTCAGGTTCGAAGGGTGGCATCTCCACACTGCAGTTTTCAGGTCTTTCCATAGATGTTCGATAAGATTAAGATCTGGGCTCATAGAGGGCCATTTAAGAATATTCCAGTGTTTTTTCTCAGCCATTCTTCAGTGCTTTTAGCTGTATTTTTTTTGGTCATTATCCTGTTGGAGGACCAATGACCTGCGAGTGAGGCTGAACTTTCTGACACTGGGCAGTATGTTTCGCTCCAGGATGCCTTGGTAGTCTTGAGACTTCACTGTGTCCTGCACATTTTCAAGGTTCCTCGTGTCAGATGCAGCAAAGCAGCCCCAAAACAAAACCAAAACCCTTCCCTGTTTCACAGTAGGTATGATGTTCTTTTCTTTTAAGGTTCCCGTTTTCCTTCTGTAAACATAGAGCTGATGTGACTGGCCAAAGAGCTCCAGTTTTGTCTCATCAGTCCAAAGGACTTTGGGGCTTGTCAACCTGCATTTTGGTGAATTTGACTCTGGCTTTTTTATGTTTTTCTGTCCTCCTGGGTCATTTTGGTGAATTTGACTCTGGCTTTTTTATGTTTTTCTGTCCTCCTGGGTCATCTTCCATGGAGCCCGTTGTTCAAAATGTGCCAGATGGAGCGATCAGAATGTGACGTACCTTGACCTTGGAGCGCCGCTTGGATGGTTTCAGATGGTTTTCTTGGCTCTTTTTCTACCATCCACACTATTCTTCTGATCAACCTGGGGTTGCATTTCCTCTTGCGTCCACATCCTGGGAGGTTGGCTACAGTCCCATGAACCTTATACTTTTTGACAATATTGGCAACTGTGGTCACAGGAACATGAAGCTGCGTGGAGATGGTCTTACAGCCTTTACCTTTAACATGATCATCTATAATCTTCTTTCTGAGCTCCTCAGACAGCTCTCTCCTTCACTTTCTCTGGTCAATGTTCAGTATGATAAACACAATGATACCAAATACAGCAGCATGTTCTTTCTCTTTAAATAGGCTGGATGAAAAGCTTGAAGGCACCTGTGATACTAATTAAGGTTAAACACTTAGTTTGAAACATAACTACAATGCAAAGGGTACCAACAAATCTGTCTATACTAATTTAGCATATCTTTGTAAAATAAACAAATCATTTCTTTTCACAATTGTATTGGTTTAGTCTATCACACACTAAAGGCATGCAGGTATACATTAGACAACTGCTTTTAATTGAATCACTTTTCAAGAGAAATTAAGCATTGTTTCAATGAGCTGTACGGGTACCAACAAATTTGTCCACGTCTGTATATAATACAGATATATACATACATAGAAATATCCAAAGACTATACTGTTACTTTATGCCTTACAAAGTAAGCAACCTAGAACCTTCCGCTGTATATTTCCTGAGCAGCTGGCAGTCACTGTGGAACCCTGCACCCTGCCCTTTAGAGCGAAGTACCACTTCCTGTGATCTAGTGCTGACTGTGCCCGGGGCATGTGTTATCAGAGAATGTGTCCTTCTCCTGCAGATTAAGGGGGCCGGGGATGTGGTGCTCGTCAAACACACCTCTGCACTTCTGGGGGCGAAGTGGCGGGTGCCCGACTGGCCGGGTCATCGCGCACCGTGCGCTAAAGCACAGCTAGAAAGTGACCTTGGGAGTTAAGAGCTCGATACCTTAGTGTGTCAGTGACAAGACAATTCAGACACGGTTCTAAGGCATTAAATTCAGTTCCCCTTTATTATGAAATGTGGTTCCAGAATCACCAGTACGCTGAAGAAGCCCATTCCTACTTAAAAATACCAGACAGTATCAATTGTCTATTTGAGAACTAACAAAAACACTCAAGAATCAATTCTGGTTGGACATAGTTTATTTTCATATAGCCAAAGCTGTACAAGTTCTATAAATACTTTTACACTGAAATATTTACACCCAGTGGCCCCCTATCCCCCCCGAAAAAAATCATTACAGCAGCAGAAATCAGACACCCAAACACAGGTCAGACAATTTTTAAATCATTTCCTATAATAAATATCATTCAGGCCCCCCACCAAACTGTTCTGAAGCTTCATGGCCTCTAATCAGTTACTTGTAGTTGCAGTATTTACAAATGTTTCTCTTTAAGACATATCTAACACAAACCTTTCTATTATTAAACGTACTGAAGAGGTACACGCATTATCAAGGGGTGAAAATTCCAAAATGCAAACCCAAACAAAAACACATAATCCATCCAGGGGTGAAACAGGCAAAAGAAACTTCAGCACTCAAAGAAACAAAAACAATGAATACCAAGCAGAAATGTATACAGCTATTCCTCTTTTATAAATAGTCATTTTCACATTCACAATCAGTCATTTATACATACAACTTGTATACATACAGCTTGGATTTTGCTGTTAAACCCAAATGTAGTGCACATTCCCAACCTCAATTTGATTACACCTTGATCCAGGGCATGACAAGAGAAACAAGCGAATCAATGCGGCTGACAGTCATGGGAATGCTAATATAAGATCGTTGTAACATGCAATCCAACATATTTAACTACACACAAATAAATTACAAATAGTACAGCAGAGTAACCTCTGATTAGACAAAGTATCTCTCTCTCTCTCTCTCTCACACACACACACACAGACACACACAAAAAAACACACACACACACAAACACAAAACAAACAACAAACCTCAATGATATAATTTTCATTATAATTTTCTCATCACATAACATCACGGGGGAATCTGGATTGCATATCTATCCTCTGTGAGCTATGCGTAAAATTTTTCTAGAAATTTTTAAGGGTACTACAGCATGCGACCACTGCGCTTTAAAACATTTCAGGGTTTGAGGCCGAGCAGTTTAATACCATTTAGTATAACAGTTATACAACACTCTGGGTGTAATGTGACACCATATCATTACATTACGTATAACATTAAATTACATTAAGCAGGAATTAGTCTTAAATATCCTGAAATATTGTGATCTAGACTGCTTACAAGCCATAACTATGTTCAACTGATTTTTCACATTACAGCTTTGTTTTACTTCGATTTTTTGCCCTACAAAGAAATAACTTCAGCCTTGCCATTTTTATCTAATCAGAAGGAAAACAAAGAGGGAGAGGAGGGGAAAAAAACAAGCACATTCCATGATATGCTTGAAAAGGAGGGAATCAAACGGAAGCCAAGACAAGAAAGGAGACCAGGCATAACGCGGTAACAGATGCCCCCTGGTGGAGACGAACACATACTGCGGATTAGCTGGGCAGCGGCCTAGGTGACAGAGCCCTAGGCTTGCCTTCCACCTCTTTCCCCTGGACGGCAGCCATGTAGGAGAAGAGACACAGGACGGAGTAGCAGATCTGGTGTGCCTGAAAGAGAGACAGATCACAGCACAACTGGGGGTTTGGGAATTACAGTGACCAGGTGACACCTGTGATGGAGTGCTGCCCTCTGGAGGCCCACATAGCAATAGCAGCCATTAAATACTATGATGACTAACTAGCTTGACTGTACCAAAAACGTATGAGAATCCTGATTAAAGGTGAGAGAGATATGACTGATGTGCTCCAGCCCTCCACTACAACCAGGATCAAGAGGCATCCTGGTCAGGATATGGCTATGACGATGTATTATAGCATGGTTTAGACATAATTCAATATATGGAAAAGAAGATGCAGTATGTCAGCTTATAAATAAGGAGAGACATATCAGGAGCAAGGGTGGAGTGCAGGAGGGACAGGTCACTCACCATAGGTGTCTTGTACTTGTGGATCACCACTTCTTTAGTTTCAGGAACTACAACCGGACGTGCAAGAGACAAAACACAGAATTCAACACATGTAGGAACGCAGAAGAACTGAATTACAGCTGGAATAAAAGGGATGCATGTGCCAGTTCAGAAAGTCCATTTTGATGGAAACTAGACCCTATAAATGGCTGAAAATGACATTAGAAATCAGCATGAGGAAGCAGCTACAATCTACTCCCTGTGAATAAAGATGATTCAGATTACTTCAAACACAAACACAAAGACGATCAATGTCACCTTAAACACTGCATGCCACATGACTTAATATTCATCTTAGTTTTGATTATTTGCTACAATTTGCTGAATGTTATTACAACCCCATTTCTAGAAAAGTCACCCATGTAAAGGACCATGGACAGACCTTGTTGTGAGAGCTGCTATATAAAAGTAAACTGAACTGAATCGAAAAGTTGGGACAAAATTCCCAACAAAAAGCAGCGATTGGCATCCCATTTAGGACGAGCGCATATTCACAAAAAATAAATTATGGTCATTAGCTCAAACTTTATTGTCTTTTTGCAGTGCTGTATTCACATAGGAGTAAAACAGAATTCACCAATCACTGTTTTTTGTTTCCAACTGCACTTTTCACACTGCTACAGCTTTTTTGGAAATGCAGTTGTAATTATAAATTTATAGATTACTTAGCGGCAGCTAGAAATTACTAAATATAAAGTTATGATATAGCTACTGCAGGTTTTAATACCAATTCATATTTTTGGCCGATAGGGACTTGTGCATTGGCAGCTTTCAGGGAGGTGATACCCACGCAGGAGCCTGGAGTGATTATATTTAGCATTTCAGAAAATGCTGTCATCCTTATGCTGTTTGGTTTTTTTTTTGGTCATGCTGCTGTGTTACTTTGTTCCTTTAAAAAAAAAAAATGATTATACGGCCTACACGAAAGTCCAGTGTACTCACGCACAAACAGCCATACACGTGAACATATAGAAAAACAGTCCAAAATATATATAATTAAATAATCACTTCCAGAAAACATGAGAAAAGAATCCACAAAGCAACCAGCAGATAAAGTGCTTTGCCGATTAAAAACAATGTTTCATCATACATACATATATCGATATAAAAGTGGAGAAAGTCACCAATGTGACTAAGAATACAAGTGTGTTGCTCATTAGTATGAATGCTGAACGTTACTCAACAGTAATTCAGTAAATAGTAATTAGTCAAAAGGATAAATGAAGACTGGCCCGCAACTATGCATAGCAGGTATAGAAAAATAGATGGATGGATGGATGGATGGATGGGCAGACGGAAGGATGGATGGATGGATGGACATCTTTACAAACCATGGACCAGCAGGTCACTGAAGACATAGAAGATGCCAGGATCAAGTAACTGAACATTTAAGGCCATTTAAAAGAATGTTAACTGTGAAAACAAGGTACGGCTAAAAGCTAACCTTAAAATATCATCTAGATATCGGGGATCTGTTTGTCATATAATTGGGGGTGGGGGGAGGTGTGGGGGGGGCAAGAGGAAAAGCAAAAATTTTGCAGTAGAAAAACAGGAAGGCAAGAAAGAAACGTGGAACAAATAGGTAGATTAAGATGACAGAACTTTACCTGCTGGAGAATGAAGGTTTTCATAGCAGCACAGGTGAGGGGACGGATTTAAGAAGCACAGTGACAAAGCAGTAACTCAAACCCGCATTGGGGTGGGTGGGGGGGGGGGGTAAAGGGGAAGGGGCACATCTGCTGGCTTTTTTCACTGATTGTTTTTGAAGGGCATTTCCTGAGTGTTAAAACACTCGGCCAAAGAGATTCCCTCTGTCACTGCCCATGTGATATATCTATCAGTGCGTGTGTGACCTGTGCCGTAGATACTGTACAAAACCATTTCTTTACTTATGTAACAGTGCCCTCTATGGCCAATCTTCAGCAAAGTTCTCATCTAGGCATTTGACTTCTGGTAGATGCAGCCATCAGACGCAGACGACGATAACACTTAGTCACATCATACATTTAAGCGTTCACAAACTGTGCTGGATCAACAACATGCCAAAAATAATACTACAGCAAACATATACTCCCAAAAAAGAAAACAAAACAAAGCAAACAAACAACTGCTTTGAATCAGAATGCGTTAAGCGAACAAACAAAATAAGTAGAATATACAGTGGTGGCATTAACTGATTCTGGTTGTTGACACACATAAAAGCCAATCATTTCTGTGATGCAAAATATTTAGAATAGAACATATGCAGTGAAAGTTTTCTGTTACAGTATTCGTAAGAAATACTGAACCACTTCCTTGGCACCTTCAAATGAATTCCCCAGTTGCACATATTCAAATCACCGATGTCAATATTGTGAAATGCACCTAAAGCGTTCTGGGCATCAGCTGCACTCATGCCATCACCATACAAGACGTGCCACAGATCTGAGTTACTGCCATGTCGCATACCGGCCGAGTAGCAAAATGATGTAATTACCAAATTCCTCCAGGACAAAGACTCCTTTGACAGTATTGCACTTTTTAATGTGATTCAGCTCTATGAAAACCTAAAGGAGAAAGAGAAGAAAAACAAGAAATTGGCTAACATTAGTCAGTTTGTCAACAACAGTAATGGAACCACAAAAATATGCAACCTACCCAAAATGTAAAAGGCCATACCCCAGGAACAGCAGCACAATAGTACATAGAGAGCAGCACAGGAGGCCAACTCCACAAAAAAACATTCAAGTAAAACAGAATTTCATGACAGCAGTCTCCTCTCCACCCAAGACTTATTCACAGGTCATTGCTAAAAGGAGAGAGCAGCTCAGAAATGTGGCTGCCAGTTTTGTTCTACCAAACTTAATTTTTTCTCTGGTGAATAATATAGGAAAATACTACTAGAGAAACGGAATGGAGAAACCGAAATTCTACCAGATAAAAAAAACTAAATGTAAATAAAACTTAAATGTAAGATTTACTGTATATACATATACAGTATATACACACAGACACAGACACACATACTGTACACACACACACACACATTCTCTTTAAAAAAAAACAAACAAACAATCAAAGTTACTACTAAAAAGAGGAGATTGCAGAAGAGATGTACCTTCCGCTCCTTGCAGGTGGAGTAGGCATGGGAGAGAAACGGGTTCGATTAATAGAATAATAGACACAAGAGAACAGACAGCAACGGGCCATGAAAGCAGTGCTGTGTACAGACACCAGACTCCGTTGAGGCAGGACAAACTCCTACTGGTCCATACAGGAGGACTAACAGAGGATCATATGAATACAGTGTGTACTTTATAAAGCAAATGTGCTGTCATTCCCTGATTTGCATCCACCTGCATGCCCCCCACCATGCGTCCTCCTCCAGCAATGAGGGCTGGCACCCACTACAGCACCAACAGCACCGGTCCCATCCGGACCCATCGCATTTGGACCAGTCCACTGGCCACCGAAGGGCCGAAAAGCAATCTGAGATCAGCAGTTCTGAACCTGATAACCACGAGGTCAATTCTGAATATCAGAAAGATGTGCACAGGTCACGGTGTAAGGAACAAGGGGAAGGTTTGTCCTACTGACACGTCCAGAATTTAATGGTTTAACAGAATCTTAGTCATTTTTGCTGCATACTGCATTATTTATTTATTTTTATTTCTTTAAATTTAATTCAAACGGATGTGCATTTGTAGAAAGCAGGGTCACCTGTTGGGGGGTTAAGGGCCTTGCTCAAGTGCCTAATGGTAAAATCAACCTGCTAAACCTGGGATTTGAACCAGCGACCCTGCGATCACAGGCAAGTCCTAATCCACTGAGCCACAAACTGGCCCATTCTACTGCAATAACTGAACTTTCAACCTAGGGCAGTGGAAACTAAAACAGATTTCAAATTTCAAAGGTAGCAAACTGTCCAGCTCAGAGCAGTAGCCAGAAATAGATTTCGTGGAAAGTCCAGCAACCCCTGGTAGATTCCACCAACTGGGGAGCTGAAGCGAATTTCAAAGGGGGGGGGGGTTCAACTTTTTACCATCTGGCTATGATTGGTACCTGATTGGTAGCTTCCTTTTTTGCTTTATGGCTACGTACCTGGTCTAGCTGGGTACAATGCCTCTGTAGTATAAGCAACCTGAGATTTTAGCATTCTAACATTCAAATTACTGATGCCAGTTTCACCCTGAACTTGTGTCAGTAATTTGAATGTTATAATGCAGTTGTCTCACACAGATTTGAACTGCAGTGGCTTTCAGGTAAACATAATAACACGCTGAGCAGAGGACACTGAAAAAACAGCAGTTTATATTACCAGGGCACAGCCTAACAGTTTTACCAAACTGCTTAAAAACTTGTATGTGCTTTCTCTATTAAAGTAAACCTCCATTAACTCAAAATGTACTAAGCATTAAAATGAACTATGTTTTTTTTCCATTACAAAGAAACACCATATAAGAAATATTAGAAATATTGTTTTAAAAGCTTCCTGATCTTACCTTTTCACCCCAAGAGAAACATGTGTTTACTAAAATCATCACTACAAAATAGTGATGATTAAAGAAAAATCTCTAACACTCACACACACACCTATCTAAATGGGGACCGTCCATTCATTTCTATGGGATAAACCCTAATCCCAATCACGACACCCTTAACCTCTACCCATCCCTCACCTTAACCATAAGTAACCAACCCAAATAC